CATTTTTTTTTTTTCTGTTACAAGGTGTTTAGATTTATGCGAATTACGCTTTTGAGCTTAGCAATTGTCTACTGTGATTTGAATTAGGTTAGAATATATTCCCGGACAAAGGTAATTAACCTTTAGGGAGTGTGAAAAAAAATTAAATCTAAGACCTCTGAGTTATCAAAGATCAAACTCAACCACTGAATCATCCCTTAAGGATTTACTTGAAGCACTTACTTAGTTGTGTTAAATAAACACAATCCAACATATATATTAAACATGTCGTTCTTGGATTGACACGGATAATCCAATAACAAAAAATCTAATGCTAGAACTCCTTTTTCTTTTAACTAGATATCCATCACCCATAAACCCACTATAAACTAAAAAATCACTTGATTTGTATGGTATCAAATTTATGCAAAAAAAAAATCCACTAATAAAAATGTATGCAATACTTGATCGAGAAATGAACCAAATTAGATATTATTATACTATATATCAGCTAAATGGAATTGTCCTATTAATGTTTGAATATATGTATTTGACACTAATCATACCCGTTTATTATTCGTGTCATCGGATCCTATATATTTGACACCATTTGTGTATGTATTATTAAACAAAGATAGCATGCAAAAATTTAAAAATTAATCAAGGGAACATAAGTGATATGCCTTTTATCATATTTTGAAAAGTTTCTAGAGATAAGTGTGTGATAATGGAGGTTTTGTTTATGACATAAGCCTTTTTTAATAAGCTTAAATGTAAGTTCATGTACTTGCTAATTAATATATTTTTGGTAAATTATACGTCCGGTCCTCAAATTATAACACTTATGTCAATTAAGTCTCTGGATTTTTTTTTTTGGTGTCAATTTAGCACCTGAACTCTCTAATTGTGTCAATTAAGTCATTTTGTCTGTCTTCGTTAGATTTTCTAAGGAAAATTGATAGAGTGTATCACTCATGTGATTGGACTACAACTCATTTGTGTACACTTTATCACTTTTTATTAGAAAAAATCTAATAGAGCTAGGCAGAAGGGCTCAATTAATACAATTAAAGAGTTTAGGAGCTCAATTAATACCAAAAAAAATAAAAAATTAGGGACTTAATTGATACAAATGTCATAATTTGAAAGTTATATATGTAATTTACTCATATTTTCAGGTTGCAAAACAGTGTCGAGAAGGAGAGAGATTATCATATGGTTAGGATTGTTGAATCAAGTTTAGTAATTTAATAATTAGTCAGGCCAGCCGTATTATGTTTTTTTGCCTATTTTCTATTAAAGATATGATAGGATCTAAATAATTCATCAATATTCAAGTAGAAATACNTTTGCCTATTTTCTATTAAAGATATGATAGGATCTAAATAATTCATCAATATTCAAGTAGAAATACGATAAAATTCAAAGATATTTATTGATATCTAAGTTTCTTTGAATAAGTAGAAATGATAATAGACATATGTGATTTATCTTTTATCTTATGTAAGTCTCATCTTATAAATAGAATTGAATCCCACATAATTAATTACCTTCAATAATACAACAATGCTGCCCATAAGGTGTTAAGTCCGTAGATGTAGGCAATTTATCGACCCATAATCCTTTGTATTTCGTTTTTCTTTAATTTTATTTATCTCTAGAAACTTCTTCACTTTCAAAGGATAAATTTACAATAATCATAAAAGATTGGGTACTATACCAAAAATTAATCAAGCCTCATAAATTTTGGTCTGAATTAATTTGTAACCATTGAATTGTAAAAATAATAAAGAATGCAGACAGATCTGGTTTCAGATGGACAAATAATGGCATAAAATTATTTTTGTTGAAACCCTTCACCTCTGCTTCCAAATGGATTGCAAATAATGCCATAAAATTGGTCTTGTTTTCTGCTAAATTAAGAGAATTAGGTAACAGTTGAGGAATATTTAGGCAGCTTTGTCGGCAAGTTGGTTTTCAAGACCCCACAAAAAAATACATAGAAAAAAAAACCAAAGTGAGAGTCCATAAAAGCACCCAATAAACCTTTGTGATAAGCATTAGCACCAACACCACCACCACCAACATTCCATTATCAAAAGCCATATACAAAAGGTAAGCCTTCCCACCCTTCTTCTCTTCACTTCAAACCAAAGTCCAGCTACCTTCAACAAACTACGGCAGCAATCTCCAAACTCAGGGGAGAGAGAGAGAGATGTGGCATACGTTGGCTGCAATGAAGCGGAACCTCCAAAACATGAGGAAGAGTCCACGAGTGGCTGATGAGAACATGTTTGGAGCTGGGAATGGAGCTGAACTACCAATCATGGCAGACAACATGGACAGAAGACGGCAAGGGTGGAACGGGCTTTCGGTTATATACAGCATCATAAGAGCTCCGCTCTCCCTTCTCTCGTGCCTAGCCAATCCCCATATCAACGTTGCTGATGGAGTCTGGGCATCCGGTGAGTTGGCTCGGATATCAGAATTGAATCATCTTATGGTAAGCGACAGCATGCGTTACGCCATCTTGATGTAAAAACTGTAAGAAAAAGCTTTGCTGGTTTTACGGATCATGCATTCTCACCATGTTTGAACTGCTGATCTCCCCCTGTATAGTAGAAGCAACAGATATCCACAAATGAAACCAATAGTCTTCAGATTGGCTACGTAGTTGTTCTTTTGTCTAGTTAGACAATTCCTTTTTTGTCATCTGTTCAGATTCTGAAACAAAAGAGATATATAAAAAATGTGATGACAATGTGGCATTTTGTGTTTTTGTTAATAGGTCATAAACTGCTGATGCCTCCCTAGGCCATTTGCTGAATGGGCTAGGTCTATGGTAGAATATTGTGTATTGCAAAACACAAATAAATATATAAAATGGTTTGTGGTTCCATCAAATAGATCATAGCATGGTTCATGACATAGTATCAAGAGTCATTGCTTGCTATGTGATTTGTTGTTGAAGGTAATGGTTCCTCGACTATGTAACCTGGCCAATAACAGTGAAAATAAACAAAGACACATTTCATCAGGCTTTCATTAAACTTTCCCAAAGAAACCCGATCCATCCTTCTGCATAGCCTTCCAGCTAAAAAGTAGGAGGACTTCCTCTATATCAACCTACAACCAGCAGCAAATGGGTAATTACCATGTAAATAATATAATGGACCACTAAATGCAACAAAGTCATACGCGATAAACCAAAATACAACAAAATCCCTAATTATGCTCTGTAAATTACCTACCACAAAAAAACAATCACTAGGCTCTGCAACAGTGAATCCATGGATGGTATATGGCAGAAAATCATTGGTTGACGCTTTGATATTTGGCTCTGAGTGGACTTTCCTGTGTGCGTCCTTTTTAGCCAGATGAGTTGAACCAAATATGTGATACATAGCAGACTTGGGGAGTAATTCCTCAAAAACATCTAATCCTACCAGCCTCATCATGTCCTACAAATTCAAACTTGTGTGGATGGTTTTGTTACTTTACATTGAAATAAATAAAGGAACAATTGCTCCAATAAGGTTGCTCAATTACAATCTAGGTGTCATGGGTGAAAATCGTGAAAAACAACCTCTCCGTGTGTATCTGATTCTTCCTATTCCTTGCAGTTAGACCCTGCAGTCATAGGAGTGTCACTGAACTATCATTTTTCTTTGTTGGGTGTCGGATGGAACCAGAGGTGTGTCCTCGTAGAAGGATGAGTCCTCTTTGTTCAACTTATTGACAACTGCAGAAGTAGAGCCATAAGAAGGACTGGGGCTTGCATGCCAATTCTCAAGTTCCCTCAAAATGTGTCCATTCGAAAAAAAGAAAAAATCTAGGCTAAAAGAAGAGTACATAATAACCTATGAGAGCTCAATTGAGAATCAAATTGTGGGTTGCAGTAACCTTTTGCTGCATCATCATAGCTTCTGCTTGTAGATTCTGAAAGGTTTCATTTGGAATCATCAACAATGGATCATGTAACCATTTAGAGCCATCTACAAGCCCTTGTTTGCTGGATGGACCATTTCAAATCACTCTTTTAGGTACTACTCAATACCAACAACAGTGGCGATGCATAGGCAACAACAAGGAGGCCTAAAGAATAAAGAGATCCTAAAAGGTGCAATCATGCGGTCGGGTTATGTACATATAAGTGGGACATGGGAGAAAGAATCAACTGCTCCAACCTTTTATGGTGTTTATCTTGATGGAACTAATTTGCACTACTGGCGGTGAGTGGCACCCATGAACATTAGCAGGAAATCGATCAGCAAGGAGATATGTAGTNCGCCAACCTTTTATGGTGTTTATCTTGATGGAACTAATTTGCACTACTGGTGGTGAGTGGCACCCATGAACATTAGCAGGAAATCGATCAGCAAGGAGATATGTAGTACACTCAATTTGATTCAACTGAAAAACGCTCCTTCCCAAATATCAAAAACAAATCAGAATGTTAAGCATGTCATGGTGGAAGAAATGTTCCTAAAAATATCAAAACTAATTAGAGTAATTGATGAGATGCCATAGAGCAACATGCTCTCAGGATCTAATACGTATGGTACTGTATAAATGGGCCAATGGCTATGCTCTGCAGATAGCATAAACAAATGAATGTTCACATTTAAGAAATCAATTGTCCCAGCCCTCAAGTTCAGCATCATAATACAACTTTAAGAGACATAGAAGATGGGTGCAGACACACACTGATGTCAATTCCATTATTTTTGTCGTGGTTAGATGGTACAATAACAAACTCAAATTTTGCAGTTANTCAGCATCATAATACAACTTTAAGAGACATAGAAGATGGGTGCAGACACACACCGATGTCAAATCCATTATTTTTGTCGTGGTTAGATGGTACAATAACAAACTCAAATTTTGCAGTTACTTTCTGAATGATATGCCATTTCTCACATTCTATCCAATTCATGAGTCATGACACTGTGGTCCAAAAAAAAAGTGTCATGACACTTACAAACACAATAGATGCAAGAATTGCAAAAAATGGCCTAAAATATGGTGCATCTGTTTGTGTATTGGGGGGGGGGGGGGGGNGTCATGACACTTACAAACACAATAGATGCAAGAATTGCAAAAAATGGCCTAAAATATGGTGCATCTGTTTGTGTATTGGGGGGGGGGGAGGAGAGAGAGAGAGAGAGAGAGAGAACAAATGCAGTATTTTCAAGTCGGTGTGTTTAGGTCTATAATGATTTCTTCATTGTCTACCATGATCTTCCCGTACCTTGTTGCATGTGTGTCTTAGGTACCCTGTGATAATGTAGTTTGTAATCGTTTTTGCTAAAAAAATGTCTGATTTGTGTTGTAAAAATACCATACCAAAAAACAAAACAAAATTATGGATTTTCTCTTTTCTCCCATGTAAGATTGTTTGTATAGGAGCACAAGACATACATAAATACGTAACTGTATCAATTATATATCAACATGCATGTAAATTTGAAAAACAGAGCCAACATGCTTAAAAAATCTAGTTTTTCACTCATAGAAACACTTCTGAAAAGGCGTACCAAAACATTGTCTTAGCTATTGGATATGCTGCTTTTCATTGCTCTACAGGCTGATACACAGTTCAACTGGCATGTTATGTTCAGCAAAAATATAATTGACACAAGATGGTCCCTAGGATTGTCCCATCTTCTGTCCTATCCACCAACAAATTACAAATATCTCCCTTGATTTGAATGTATTATTGGTTACTTGTCAAAGTGTTCATCATCATGAACAACTTCTTATGAATGGGTTCAATTTAAATCTTGCAACATTTTTCCCAGAAGAGAAAATCTATGTTAGCAGGGAAAAAAATTGCCTATAAGATGTATTATTAAAGTTTTGTTATTCCATACTTTTTAAATTACTACTCCAGATCACTTGGAAACAATACACAAAACAATCTCGTAATATCATAATCAAAAACACCACTCGCAGATTTTGTAACACGTGTGATTAGAATTTGAAGTAAAGAGGTCGCCGAGTAAGACTCAAATACTAAGTTCAAAACTTCTTAGGCCATGTTTAAATTGGAGGAAGCTGTTATAAGATTCCAATTTATTTTTCCATTTCTTTGTCTTCTTGGCAGTCAAATAATATGGAACAGCAAAATTGAAACTAATAATAATACTGAAAGTAACAGGAAAAGCAAAAAAGAATCAACAATCACTGAAGAAAACAACATGCAACTAAAGTGCTTGGAAGTGATATCATTATCTCTTCCTTAATAAGGCAGAGTGTTAAAGTGATAAACTCTGATTCCCTCCACATTTGCAATCATTTCATACAAGCTGAAAATGACAGAAGGAATAAAGTAGCTTATCAAGAAGTGGGGAGATAATTAAACCTTGATACTGACTAAGAATAATTGAGAAAGAAAAGCATTAAAAAAGAGCATCAATAGATGCTTGAAGTCAGTAACTCTGAAACATTTACTTTTGGAACCAGCATCAAAAAGGTTAATATTCTGGTGGTGATATTGATTTTCAGTTCTGATCATATTTATAAGTATGGGTTTTGAGATGGACATGTAAGATGTACTTGTCACACAGAGTTAATGCATACATCTTTTTGTAATTTGACCGGCAAGAACATTTAACATGAAATGGAATTTAANAAATGTAAGATGTAATTGTCACACAAAGAGTTAATACATACATCTTTTTGTAATTTGACCGGCAAGAACATTTAACATGAAATGGAATTTAACCCAAAACTGATGCTGAGTGAAAGAAGTTGTTTATTGATGTTTACTTTTGCCAGACTTCTTCAATAATTACCTCAACTAGTGTAGGTACTTGTCAAGCTAGGATTTTCGTAGATTAATTCAAGGATCAAAATTTCTTTTCACTATATTGTTTCTGTCACCTAATAAGCAAAAACGTTTTGAAAATGTTCCGTAAACGTTTCGGAAACAAAACGAATATAAAGTATGAAAATTCATTTCCAAAACAATGGTTAAAATATAACGGTATATTTTCAAACACCTCAAAACATTCTGAAACAATGATGAAAACATGTCGAAACATTCTAAAACACCTCAAAACATTAAAATTTTGATTCAATTATTGACTCGTTTCAGTCTCCTTGGAAAGGGAACGTTACAGCTGTTTGGACCGTTATGAAACGAAATTTTTATTCTTGGATGACTCATAACCATCCAATTACTATGCTATGCACCTTCATCAATTACTTGATAAAGACACAGACATCAAAGTATGACAAACTTGTGAGGTCGCATGCTATTTGTTTTTTTTTTTTTTTTTTTTTCAATTTTCAATCCAAAAAATGTATCTAGAAAGTCCTAAGATCCCCTTCTCACCTTTTATTTGAAGAATGTAAACAAAATGGCAAATCATGCAAGTTAATTGACGAAAAAAAAATAAATTATGCCAATAACAGTTAAGCTCACCTTGATATTCTGCTAGATTTCATGGATGTCATCCATAAAGCCTCAACATTGGTGCATCCACCAAATTCCTGATTCAAATGGAAGTATGGCAACAGTCCACTTTAGTGTTTTCATGAACTGGCCTGTCACCTACTCAGCTTGAGCAAATCTCCTGAAGAAGCTTTGCCTTTGCTACAACTTTCTCCAAAACAGGAGCGAACTAGGCTTTTCATCCCATCTCCATAGACATAGAAATTCAAGAGAAGTAATAACTTGCTGATGCATGTTTCATAAGAACATGACTCTGCTTGTCCACACGTCACACAGAATTTTCAATTTAATTCAGCAACGAAATGGTCAACAGTCATCAACAACCAAGGAACCCATTAAAATTTGGGAAAAAATTTCCCATTGCACAAATTCAACAATTCAAATCAACCCAAAAACACAGTATTGAGTTACTGACTCCAGCTTCACAAGTAATAGAATACTGACAAACTTGAAGTTGCAGTCTCTAACTAATTTCTTCCCTCATCAAAAAACACAAAATTAACCCCCACCCAAAGCTCAGAACATGACAGATTTTGATTATACCTTCCATTTTACTCTTCAGAATTTGACTGATTCAGATTTTTGCCCTTATCGCTTATCTAAGCAAACTCCAACTGGATTGTATCTATGAAAAGAATGAACCCCACATAGGAACACAGAAGGGCAAATACCAGTAAAGTGCAACAAATAACCTATACATATATGTGTATGTGGTTTGTATGCACACTTGGCCGAAGTATACACATGCATTATATGCAGGCATTAAGTTCAATATTCTACATCAACTTTGTAATTTGCAATGGAAGACGAAACAAAACTCAGATTCTGAGTGGAGAGGTTTATTAAAGTAATTGCAATAAAGTAGTGTAATTCAAACAGACTTTCAGGCTACAGTCTATGAACGTTCTCAAGTTGTTTCCTAAAACATATTTACAAACAAAGCATAAAACAGATAAGAGTAACTTACATCAAGTCAGCCACATTTCTTTTTCTTTTTTTAAATATGACGAGAAATATAAAGAGCACACCAACACCAGCAGACATACAATCAAGAACCTACATATCACAAATACTGTCAGCGTGTCATTGCCTCTTCTATGGTGAAGCTTTGATCTTGTAAGGTCACAAGACCAAGTCAAATCATCAGGATTTATGTGCACACAAAAAAAATCACATGCCAATAACTAATTCAGAAATAATGTAATGCACCAACTAATTGAGAAATATTTTTTAACCGTGTTAATACACAGAATTTGCAAGGCATCTTCCACAAGTCCAAGTGCTCATATAACAGGTTTATAGAACCAACTTGAATTGCAAAAGGAAAAGGAATAGTAGCCATCATTTTCTAGTAAGAGGAGAGTACACTACAGTTTGAGGTGAAATGTCAAGCAATAAATAAGATGAACGGTGATCGGGACATGATTTGTCATTCTCATGCGTATACCCTTACAACCTTAACAAATATTTTAACTCCAACGAACCATGTACAGGATTGTGTAGTCAGGCAAAGAGCTCACCAAGTTAAAACAGACTTTGGTGTCACTACCTGTTTGCTACAAAGAGTGTATTACTGCTGAAGTTAACTCAACTACTGTTTGAGAAGCTAGATAACTCCAGACACTTCACTTATCCCTGATAGCGATCAACCTCAAGTGTCAAGATTTTGGTTAATAAACCGTATAATAATCAAAGTTGCAGATTATTTATTTATACGTGTTCATTATATTGTAATGCAACACAAAAATGGAACAATTATTACTAAGTAAAGCACATTCCAGCGTTTAGTTTGGAGTAATTGAAAATCATTCCTCTTGCCATGAAAGTGTAGAATTAGTCATCTCAAATATGAGGTTGTACTACGCATGTCCAAACTACTGGGCAATAACTCCAAATCTACAAACACCAAAAAGATCCGACCCCCACCACTCCGCCGCTAGCACCCCCATTACCACCACCACCATCACCATCACCCATCCTCCATCCTCCCATCCCCACCCCATCCATCACCATTGTCGCCACCACCAGAATCCAGGACGTGGGTTCAGGTCCTGTATTCGAGTCCCAAGTCCATTGTCTGAGATTATCGATCCTATGGATCTCAAGGTTGGAGTATTAATAATAATTATTTTAATTTGAATTTCATTAGAAGTATTTTAATTATATTTCATTGGATTAATAGTTTATTTCTGATTCTATTTTAGCAATTAATCCTAACTTTTACCAAATATTGGAATGGTAAGGTACAATCCATTATATTCCCAAGTCTTTTTATTCTCATATTCATTTCACTCCCATTTAAAAGTCTACCCGCCTACAAAACGCAACATCAGATAATAATATTTTCACATTCTTATAGTATTGACTGGAAATGCAAACCAAGCCAAAGGGATTTACTGTTAATGCCTAATAAGCATCCATGACAAAATAAATGTGTTCACCTTAAATCATAGAAATTGTAACAGGTGAAATAAGATTTATGTAGCCAATTTCAAAAATGTTGGGAATGTTGGGACAAACCCATGCTGAAATGATTTGAGTTGTAATAGATATCTTATCAGCATTAGGAATGTATACACAACAACTATCGACATCACAAACCACTATTGATTCAAACCATATGGATGAAATTGCAATGCATCAATGACTACATGTACCTCCTTGTTCACTTTCAATAGACTGACAAAACCTTTTTCTTCCACAAAAAAGAAAAGTAGTTTGGTAAGCTATTCTGTTGGGATTATACAAGAAACTAAAAGCACAGAAAGAAGTGTTGGAGGTTGTGTACGGGTCTTGTTGGACACTGCAATAGTTGTCTTGAAACTAAACAAAACATCCACCAACTACATTCATACTTAGCATTTCACTCCCACTGACTTTATTCTCCCATTCCATTCAAAATCCTTTAGCGCTGTTGTCCTCTGGTTCTTAATTAAGCTGAAGGTGAAACGAGGCTCCCCACGTACGCAATGGCTTCAAACCAAGATGGGAGTCCAACAATGTTAAGCTTCCTTAACCTTGTGGTTTGGGGATTGTAAGACAGTAGAGAGTGATTATTCACGACCAATAAAAGTTCATCATCTTTCAGATAAGATAGAACCTTTACACCCACAACATTTCTCCCAAGCTCATAAAGATTTACGATGAGATTCTTGGTCCAAGACTCCTGAAAACCATAAACCTTCATAACCCATATCTCAATTTGAAGAGGAAATGAGGTCTTAACTGCTGCAAGACACCCACCTAAAACTAACAATGAATCGGTCATTTCCAACACTCCAAGTTGAGCACAAGGAACGGCTCTAAAAACTTCATCTGAAATATCAAATGAAACAATGGGGCACCCAGGGAAATCAATAGCCCAATGAAAAGCTCCATTCACAAATGCCTCTGATTTCACATTTGTCGTATGGATCACATAAGGCACGTCCTTTATACACCTCCAATATCCCTGACCTAGAGTGTTGACATAAGCCTCCACCACCATACCACCATTTCTTATCCATTGAAGAATCTTCACCACCNCATGAACATCAGGTAGTATGAAATACTATATATATATATATATATATATATATATATAGTGTGCGTGGTAGATCTTGCATAATATAAAAATGAGAACAGATCTTTTTTTTGGTGAAGTCGAGTGAGTCAATTGAGTGATCAATCACGCTACTTGGAACAGCCTGTGAGATCCGGTAGTAGCCTGGAAAGGTAATGGGAGATCCTCGCGGATCAAAGGAACGATCCAGTAAGGCTGAAGAAAGGTTCCTGGAACAAAGAAGAACAAGTAAGAAGAGCGCGCGGAGTGTTTTCCGACGTATCCCCTCCGACGATCAAGTCAATTTTTGAGAGAGAGGAAGAAGAAAACACTAAGTATAATTTGTAGCAAAAGTTTCACCTCCTTTTCCTTGTCTTTAGTGAGGAATATTTATACCTCAAATACTCATGATTTCTGTCAGTGTGGTCAGTAGGTGATCATTAGATACAGGCAACGTGTGCACTGATTCCTATGAGGAATGTCTTCTCTCTTAACTGCTTAGGACCCCGAGCAATCAAGACTGTCTCATCGGCCTGCCGACGATTTAATGAGCTCCTCTCGGGGAGGATGCAATAAATGTCCAGCCTTAGAGACATTTATTGTCTTTCACTTCCGAGTCTTACCGCATTGAATACAGTCTCATCAAGGGAATGATGTAATTAAATGCTTGTTTTCTCAAGTCACGTGTCAGCAAGGTCATGCAGTCTTTCTGTCTCTGATGTGACAGAATATGCCACGCGTCCATTCCTCATTGGTTGTGGCCCCTGCCTTCTGACACCAATTGTGTAAGACGAGGTCATGATAGCTAACCTAGCCTAGCCTAGGCTAGTGACCAGTGCATCAATAGCCTCTGCTGGAGCAGAGAATTTCATCATGGATGAGAGGGGGGTACATCTCAGAACCAAGGAAGAGGTACATCTCGGAACCGAGGAATAGGTACATCTTGAATCCGAAAGGGGGAGGCCTAGCGATCGATGTACCATATCAGACCGAGGGTACGTGTCGGTACATAAAAACGTACCGGATGCCACTCGATCCCATGATAAGTACCTCGGGGTAGAGGGGACTTGTGACCCGATAGGTACGTGATCTCGATAACAAGGATCAGTGACACCGAGGACGCGTGTCTTCATCTTAGAGTATTCTGAAAATGTCCCATCATATAGTTTGTTTGATTTGATGGAAAGTTTGCCGGATAGAAAATGGGAGAAGGAAAATAGGATGGAAAGAAGGAAAGGAAAATTAGAGAAAAAATGTTTCTCTCCCGTCTACCATTTTTTTTTCTCTCTCCAAAGTGAGAAGAAAATTGAAGACAAAACCACTTTTTGAATAAATTGATTTTTTTTGTGGTTAAATATACTTTTAAATGTGTCATAATTTTAAATCAAAATTTGTACATTTCTTAAGAAACACTTCTAAATATCTTATTAAATATATATATATATATAGCTATTATTTTTGCATACATATCTGTATTTATTTGTTTATTTATTTTTGTAACTAATTAAAGCGACATTAAATTTTTAAAAATTTATCTAACAATCAACTCGATTATACTTCATATGTAATATAGCTACACATTGAATATTGATATTTCAAAAAAATAGTAACATTCAATATTGATATAACATATTCATTAAAATAAATAGTAACATAATCAATAAAAAATAGTAACATGCATAACAAAAAAAATAGCAACATATAACATTCAATATTATACAGACCATAGTCTTCTCAACCAAAAAAAAAATGAGAGGGAGAGGAGAGAGGAGAGAGGAGAGAGAAAGATAGAGAGAGAGAAAGAGAAATTATAGTGATGTCAAATTTAAATTTGAATTTCAAATTTTATGAAAAAAAAATATTTTATTAAGTGTGAATTAAGGATGATTATTTAAGAAACTGATTTAATGTTAAAGATTATTTTTTAAGTCATTAGAAGGGCATTTGGAGTTTTTAAAAAATAGTGGACCTAACTACTTATTAATAAGATTAAAAATCGATTTACTCCTAAATAAATTTCATTGACAAATTAAACTCATTATGAATCTTTTTAAAAAAACTCATTCCTAATTTTCACAAAAAAATATTTAGGAGCAGGACGAACCAACCCATGGGCCAAAATGACTGTCCCAGGCCTCATTTCCAGAAGCTCGTGGAGTCAAATTATAATGATTCAATCAATTAGCTCCTTTTAGAATAGACATTGAAAAAAAAAAAAAAGGTCAAATTGTACACCTGCTGAGCAAGCATGAACAACCATGGAGGCTACTATGCTTTATCTTGGCTTTAGTAATTCTTTAGAGAGTTATCAATGGAGCATGGACCTTCAAAACATACAAAAACCCAGACCCAAATGTCATATGAAGACCCAATGAAGTCGAGTCACAATTTCATAGGGTTAATGTTACTATTCATAAATTAAAAAATCAGAATCAATTCTAATAAACTTAAGACCGGTCTCCTAAATATTAGAATCAATCATAAACCGGTCTTATTGAATAATAACTTAACATTAATAGGTCGTTACTTACCGTAGAAATATACATATTCTCTAGATGTCTAAAGTTTTCTTGGCAAACTTGGTGTTACTTCTCCCTAACAAAGCTTCTGTTGTAAAGGATATCCATGAAAATGAATGAAAAAGAAGCAAAAATAAAAAGTACATTGTTATATTATTCAATCCAACATAAACCATGTTCTATTAATTACTATACATGCATAACACACATGCACAATAATAGACTCATTAACCCCCTCGGAGCCAATAGCCACACACCTCACCGGATGCAGCAATCCGCCAAAAATCCGATACAGAAGCTACCAGTAAAAGAGTTAGAGGCGTTGCTTGTATCTGAAATGGGAACGGGTACGCTCACTCTTAGATAGTGAGAGGAATATTAGATGACTCGTTTATATCGTATCGATCAAGAGCTGAATAGCTTGACCAAAGTCT